CCTCCACCCCCTCCCTCCCCTGACTCTCCTCCGTCCCTGCCCTCCTCCCCATCCATCCCTCACCTCCCTCCTGTCCCTCCCTTGAATTCAAATCGATGTTAATCAAATCGATTGCACTTCAACCGATTGCAATCGCAAGCCCGATTACAATCGCAAGTCCAATCCATTGCCATACAATCCTCCTCCCTCCCCCCTCTTATGTCCCCCACACGAGCCAACGAGGAGAGGGGGGGGGGGGGCTTCAAGCCCCCCCCCCTTTGCACCAGGGGAGGGAGGAGGGGGGAGTTTCCAAAGCCCCCCCTCCCCTTTCAAAGGGGGGGGTGGCTCACCCCAGCTCCATTAAAAGGAAGGACGGGGGGGGGGGGGGGGTAGCTTGGACCCCGCCCCGTTTTCTGGCCACGAAAAGAAGGGGAAGGGGGGGGTAGCTTCCGAAGCCCCCCCCCCTTTCAAAGGGGGGGGGCGGCTCACCCCGGCTCAATTAAAGGAAGGGATGGGGGGAGGGAAGCTTGGAAGCCCCCCCCCCTTTCCGGCCACGAAAAGGGGGGAGGGGGGGAGTTTCCGAAGCTCACTTTAGCAAGGAAGGGGGGAGGGGGGTAGCTTCAAGCTAGGCCCCCCCTTCGAATCTGTCGGGCCCCACGAGCGCGGTCTACCAAATGTTTCGCCTCAGGCGAAGTCCATATCCAACTCGGCGATACCGTAGTAGCGATAGTCCCAAGAGCAGGAGAGAGTCGCGGGAGCGACGGGCCATGTCAAACTAAGATGTTTTCGGTCTCAATAGCAAATGGTGTGTCTCGCGATGAGGCACAGTCATATCTTGGCGGTCGGCCGCTTGAGCACAAACGGCCGCGGACAAACGCTCGCTACCTCTCGCCTCTGCCCAACCTCCTTTAGATTCAGTGGCCCCCTCGCTGCCCTTTGTGGCCCATATACACGCCCTTCGTGGCCCCCAACCGCTCGTGCCATCAATGGCCCCATTGCTGTCCTGCGTGGCCCCAATGTAGCCCCGTGTGCCCCCCCCCGCTGCCCAACGTGGCCCCATTCTGTCCGTTGTGGCCCATAGATTCGCCACTCGTGGCCCCCAGTCGCTCGTGCCCTCAGTGGACCCATTGCTGACCTTCGGCCCTGGCGCATGCCCTTTGTGGCCCATGTATACGCCCGTCGTTGCCAAGTCGCTCGTGGCCCTCAGTGGCCCCATTGCTGCCTTTCGTGGCCCCAGTGTAGCCCCGTGTGCCTCCCCCCCCGCTGCCCTCAGTGGCCCCCTCGCTGCCCTTGTGGCCCATATATTCGCCCTTCGTGCCCCCCAGTCGCTCGTGCCCTCAGTGGACCCATTGCTGACTTTCGTTGTCCTGGCGCATGCCCTTTGTGGCCCACAAATGCGCCCGTCGTGGCCCCCCAGTCGCTCGTGGCCCTCGGTGGCTCCATTGCTGCCCTTCGTGGCCCCGCTGCTGCCCTCAGTGCCCCCCTCGCTGCCCTTTGTGGCTCAGATATGCGCCCTTCGTGGCCCCCAGTCGCTCGTGCCCTCAGTGGCCCCATTGCTGCCCTTCGTGGCCCCGTTGCTGCCCTTCGTGTGCCACCCCCCCCTGCCTAATGTGGCCCCCTCGCTGCCCGTTGTGGCCCATATGTTCGCCCTTCGTGGCCCGCAGTCCCTCGTGCTCTCAGTGGCCACATTGGTGCCGTTCGTGGCCCCAGCGTAGCTTCTTGTGCCCTCTCCGCTGCCTATTGTGGCCCCGCTGCTGCCCTCGGTGGCCCAGACGACGCTGCCGTTCGTGCCCCACCCCCGGTTGTTTGCGCCCTCAGTGGCACCGTTGCTGCCCTTCGTGGCCCCAGCGTGGCCCCTCGTGGCCCCCTTGCTGCCCTCAGTGGCCCCGGCAATGCCCTCAGTGGCCAAATTGCTGCCCTTAGTGGCCCCGCTGCTGCCCTCAGTGGCCCCCGTCGCTACACAATGTGGCACCGTTGCCGCCTTTGGTGGCCCATGTGTACGCCCTTCGTGGCCCCCGCTCGCTCGTGCCCTCAATGGCCCCGTTGCTGCCCTTCGTGGCCCCGCTGCTGCCCTTCAGTGGCCCCATTGCTGCTTCTCTCGTCCGCAGTTATGCTCCCTCCCTCTTGTAATTTGCATCCCTCCCTTCCCCCGCTCATTTCCTCCTCGCGTTCTCTCTCTCTCTCTCTCTTTCTCTCGCTCTCTTTTTTTTTTTCTCTCTCTCTCTCTCTCTCTCTTTCTCTCTCTCTCTCTATCTCTTACTCTCTCGCTCACCCGCTCTCTGCCCGTCGCTCTCCCGCTCTCTTTCTCTCCGTCTCTCTCCTTTCTCACCTCTCTTGCTCTTATTGGGGCTGCGCCCAATACGTGTGGCAGGTCAGGAAAAAGTACCCCCCGAGGGGGCACGATCGAAGACGAATGGGGGCTGGTATCGGGGGGGTGTATACGTGGTGAGGTACGCGCGAACAGCTAAGAACGAACAGTCGTATAATGATTGTTGGTGTGGTTGGTGCGGTTGTTGTTGTTGGTGGTGGTGTTGTTGGTGTTGTTGCTGCTGTTGCTGTTGTTGATGGTATTGGTGATGGTGCTGTAATTGTAGTTGTTGTTGTGGTTTGCTGTCGTAGTCCCACCCGCGACCCACCCGCGACCGACCCCGCGACCCACCCCGCGACCCACCCCGCGACGCACCCCGCAACCCAACCGCGACACAACCCGCGACCCACCCGCGACCCAACCCGCGACCCACCCGTGACCCACCCGCGACCCACCTGCGACCCACCCAGCGACCCACCCGCGACCCACACCGCGACCCGTCCGCGACCCATCCGCGACCCGCCCGTGACCCACTTGTGACCCACCCGCGGCCCACCCCGCGACCCAACCGCGACCCAACAACTACCCACCCGCGACCCACCCCGCGACCCACTTGCGACCCACCCCCGACCCACCCGCGCCCTACCCACATTGGTTTAACGAAAGAATCGGCGCCTGCGGCGGGCTCGTTGTATAATGTGTGGACCTCTGGCGCCTGCGGCGGGCTTCTCCAGAGTCTCGCAAACTACCGACGTCCCCACCGCCCCCTCACTCTTATCCGCGTCTGCGGGGGACTACGTAGGATTTGCGCGTACTCGCCCTTCCAGTTTGAAGTGCGCCCAAGACGGCACAAGAGGCCACCAAGATCGCCCCAAGGCGGCCTCCGAGGTCCCCAAGAGGGACCCGCGAGGGGGGACACGGACTTACATATCGAGCCGTTTCCTCTACGACCGCCCCGAGACTGCAAGTAGGCCCCCACGATGCCCGCAAGGCCCCGGGAGGCCCCCGAGACACCCCCAAGAGGCCCCCAACAAGCCCCAAAGAGACCTCCGAGAATCTCCCAGGAGACCTTCAAGAAGCTTCTAATAAGCCCTTCAAGAGCCCCCTCGAGGCTGGCAAACGACCTCTTGTCCACACTCAGCCGAGGTGGCACTAGATCCGCCGCTCCCGTTTGATGTATCAGAAATGGTTGCCTGGCGTGCCGACTGTTTGACTGTTTAGTCTTAAGCATTCAAACTGTCATCTGGCCCAACCCGCCAACTCCGCGGAAACTGTGCAGTCCATGGGCCTCCCGCTACAGACGGCCCAATGGTGGCTTCCAAGACGGCGAAGATGGCCCAAGCGAGCCAATGATAGCCCCAAGATGTCTCCAAACTTGCACATGTTGGACCCAATCCAGCCCACTATTCCACCCAGACGGCTCAAGAGGCACCCAGGACGCCCCCAATAAGCTCCCAAGACGACCAACAGGAGGCCAACATCTTAGATGTCTCAAACTGTTTGAATGGTTTCAACGTTCTCGCCTTGTCGGGCTTCCGACGCTCCAAAGACGGCCTCATCCGCCTAAAACATCGCGCCAGGACAACCCAAGAGGTCACCAGGAGGCCATGACAACGGCACACAGACTTCCAAGACAGCCCTAAAGCGCCGAAAGAAGGACCCACGACTGCCCAGAGAAGCCTCCGAGACGGCACCCGAAAGCCAAGAGGTCCCTTAGAGGCCCCCAAGAGGTTCCCCTGAAGCCTCGAGGGCGGCCTCAACAGGCATTATGTTCCTGCTTCTCCTCCCTCTCCTCCTCTTCCTCGTCCTCCTCCTCTTCCTCCTCCTCCTCCATGGCATCTCCCGAGTATTCCCGAAAAGGGGTTCCACAACGGCGGGGGAACACACCGACCAATAGCTTTGCCAGACTCTGGCCCAACGTTTGGCCGCATGGATGGTTCCAAAGGCAGGGGGCGACAGTGTTTCGCCGTAGGCATCTTCGACGGCCGAAGATTGCCTCACGACGGCCCGAAAAGCCCCTGAGGCGCTTCAAGTTGCTCTAAGTGGAGCTAAATGAGGCCCTCAGGAAGCTACTCACCATCAGGCCCACAAGATATTTGAACGAGTTTCGAGTCCTGTCCTGTCGGGCCTCCGCGTGCGACGGCCCCCACAGGCCTCCAAAACGGCCTCAGAAGTCTCTATAGGGTCCCAAGACGGGGCGAGATGACCCCAAGACGGCCCCAGAGGGCCCCAAGACGAGCCGAGAGGGCCCCAAGGCGGCCCAAGATGCCCCCAGGACGGCCTGACGAGGGCCCCGACACGGCCCCAGGGACCTCCAAAACGGCCCTATATCATCCCAAGAGGGCCACAAGGCGGCCCAGTGAAGCCCAGGACGGCTTCCGAAGGCGAATATGCCCTTTAGAAACCCACGTAGGCTCCCAATATGCCTCTGGAGGCCCCCGATAGCCCCTCAGATGCACTAGGAAGCCCCGAGAAGCCCCAAAGATGCATCCTCTCCCTCGTCCTCCTCCCCCTTCTCCTTTTCCTCCGCCTCCTCCTCCTTCTCCTCCTCCTCTCAATCCTCCTCCCCCAATTTTCCTCCAACGGTTTCCACAACAGCTGGGGGAATACACAGCCAAGCAGCATGGCCAGCTCTCGGCCCAACTTACGGCCACATGAAGGTTTCCCAACGGGAGAGGCCACGGTGACTCGCCGTAGGCGTCTTCCATAACAATTATCGTTCTGATTGTCGCAATTGTAAGCGTTGTCTGCCAACAATAATACGGATATGTCGCCATTGACCGCAGAATCGACATCGCCCACCGATACACATGGATCCGGACATCGAAGATGGATGGCTGTCTCAGTGGCTGTGCCAGAGGGGTCGCCATTGCAATCGCTGCTTGCTGGGATGATACGCACTTTGTCATCTGCACTGAGACCCCAACCCGTGTACTCAAATCTGAAAGTAACATGAGTGGAGACCTCCCATGTCTGCCCCGGGCTTGGCCCGCGCAGTGTGATATGCTGAGTGAAGACCCAATGAGCATCCATGCAATCCCCAGTCGAATTGGCGCCCTGGTCGTCAATGAAGGCGCAATAACATATGGCAATATAACCAGGTCGCTTTACAATAATCTGGTTGGCGCTATTCCCGCTATTGAAAAGAAGCCTCTGACCATCTGGGGACGCAGTGCCTGCGAAACTGGCCTTCGCCACCTCCCAAGATGTTAGCCCGCCCAGGAGGTCAGCGTCGTACTCTGAGGACGCGCAAAACACGTCATCTGCCTCCAACATGTGATCACTCACGAGCTTGATAACTCCATTCGGTTGTAAAGCCATCGCCCCATAGTCCTCTGGAGGCCTGTAGAAACCGATGATTCCGGGCTGCATCGCGTACTCCACCAAGAACTCCTGAGTGCATACCAACAGTTGGGGGGAACCCAGCCAATGGGGTACCGCGAAACGTGCTGCTTCGGTCTCCGGTTGCCGATCTGGCCAATGGCGGCGTTGTGAAAGCAAGCACATAAACCCAGGCCATGCCTGGAGACCATCGAAGCGGTGCTGAGCCTACACACGCGGCTTTGATTGCGTGCCCCCCGCGGCCAAAATCTGCACGGAGTCTCCCCAATGTTCCTGAGCTTCTCGGGTAACCGCGCGGCCATGAACTCAAAACGTCTCGGAACCTGGTCGTGAAAGCTTGTGTCTCACGCCCCCCCCCCCGAGCGGAGGCCCCCCCCGTTGGATGAGCAACCCTCCTCCTGGGCACTGGAATTGTCATTGCTCGTGCTGACCAGCTGGAAGGGAGCAAAGCGAAACTGGCCGACCTTAAACCAATTGCCCTCGACGCTGCACGCGCCGTCGCAGTAGCATACATCCCACATGTAGCCGCTCGTGCCGCTGCGCATCTCGTGGCTGGAGCTGCCAATCACAAAGAGGAACCCCGACCCGTTCGCGCCGAAAGCACCGCCGCCCCAAGAGTTCCACAGCTTGTGATCCTTGCAACCCCGCTATCTATAATGCATTCCCGACGCAAACGTGGGGATATTCTTGCTGCTAGCGTGGCGCTCCGCCTCACTCAAACACCTGCCCAGCTACCCCCTGCCTTCGCCCCCCGTAACCACTCAGAGTCAGGCAACACACTCCAACACCTACTGACCCACAATTTAATTACAATCGCGCCCAGACTCACTCACACTCAGACCCATTCATACGCAGCCTCACTCACACTCAGACTTGCTCGTGCTCATTTTCTGCCACCATTCACCCGCATCCAGGCTCACTAAGAGTCGATGACACTCACATCACGAGGTAGGCGAGTCCTAGCAGAACATCATGACGATCGCGGTATAGAAACCATCGCACTCGGGCCTTCTGCAGAAAAGCGGCCATATTGTAGTTCATGGGCCCGCTCACGTCCAGATCGGTGGGACATCTCGAGCATGGGTGCAGATTTCGGAAGTAGGTCTGTCTATATTTAAAGGCCCCATTGCTACCACGATGCATCGCACATCGCGGTCGGACCTCCCAACATGCAGTCGCCAGGGGTCAGGTATTATGGCTGTTTTGGAATACAGAGATGTCTCTGATCGGAGGCCTTGGACCATCGCGATGTGGCAAGCGTCGCGCTCGGGCCTTTCACATACAATGATTATATTCTGAATTGCGCATGGCGCATGTATTTTTGATCGGAAGCCAATGGTGACCGTGCTGTAGTAGGCATCGTCCTCGGGGATAGGTATCCAGGGGGAGCCGGCAGGTGGTACTACTTGGGTCCGTCGGTTCGCGCACAGAGTTGTGGGACCTTGGCCCTGTAGAATTTCGACACCCTTGATCGCATCGCCCTCGGGCCTCCTACGGAGAACGTCACCAAGGAGTACTACACGGGTCCATCCGCGCCCAGATTGGTGGGACGGGTCCATTCGCGCCCGGCTTGGTGGGATCTTTTAAATTCAGCGCTAATGTTCAGATGTAGACGTGTCTCATATCAAAGCCCCATGGTCACCGTGATGTAACAATCATCGCGCTCGGACCTCCTACGTTGGAACCGCCAGGGGGTATTACACGCGCCTGTTCGCGTTGAGATTGGTGGGGCCTCTCAAACAAAATTGTGATGTTCGGCGGTCGCCATGTCTCTCACCAAAGCCCCACCGCGGTATACCAAGCGTCGCGCTCGGGCCTCCGGTGGGGGAGCCGTCAGGGGGCACGTAGCCCGCATCCAGACTGGTGGCCCTTTCATGTAGAACGCCCGATCTGGAACGTAGACGTATCTCCCCAGCACCGTTTCGTTGAGAAGGGCTCTTATCTTATGAGGACTTCCGACGAGTCCCAAAAGGGGAACGGGAAGCCAGATACCGCCCCGTGCGGTGGTCCTGCGGCGGTTCTCGCCTCAATGTGGGCTCCATCTTTGTGAATTCTTGTATATGGTCACGATCTCGCCAAAATGCTGGTTAGCGTTTCGGTCTGCACGGCCACGATCTCGTGCCGCATGTTCACTAAAGCGTGCATGGTCGTTCTCTCGCCCCGACATAAACAATAAGGTGCACATGGCCGTGTTCTTGCCCCAATGCCAGCCACATGTTTGGTCCGGACGGCCACGATCCCTTGTAACACATACACTGACATGCACATGGCCGTGTTCTCACTCCTGTCCCGGCTGCTCTCACCCCTGTCCCGCCTTTTCATCTTTGCTGTTTTTAGAACGCTTTGCTGAACTAGTTTGCACAATCCCACGATCACCGCGATGTGAGGGGCCTGGCGCTCGGGGGCCTCATAGGCGTGCAGACCTGGTGCGTTGCATGGGGAAGCTCCTGGAAGCCCCAAAAGCCACCAGACGCCCGAGGAAACGCCAGGAAACCAGATGAAACCCTGTGAAGACCCAGGAAGCTCCAAAAGCCGTCAGCAAGCCCCAGGAGACCACAAGATGCCAAGGATTTCCAAAAGACCTCCCGCGAAGTCTTCAGGACCCCAGGGGATGCCACCGCTCATACTCAGAACTACTCATAACCCAAACGATTCCCAATGAATTCGATTCATCCTCAGAGCCGCCAGTAGTCAACAACACCTCAGACACCCACACTCATACGAAGTAGTACACAACCGATCATACGCAAGCGCAGTCACACCAACACCCGTTCTTATCCAAACGCATTCGTACCCAAACCTTTCCATGCTGAGACGCATGTCCTGGACCACTCATATTCCGATGCACTCACACTCAGACACACCCACCCCCCATGCTCACACATCCGCTGATCCACTCATGCTCGGACCTGCTCATACTCAGAGCCCCCTCGTACCTAAAAGCCACAACAATGTCGCCCCATTCGCCCCTTCAACGTTGCCCCCCTTCACTGTCAAAGCATGGCGAAGCACGGTCTGAGGGTGCGACTCGGAAGCTACACGGTGGTCGACATTGGAGGGGCGGCGCCAACAGCTACGCGGCAGGCAATGTCACCCAAACCCAGAACATCACATCGACAAGGAAATCGCGTAACACATTTGCGAGGGTAATATTGTCGAGGGTAGCTCGTTTCGGAATGCCTGATCGCGCATTTCCTCAATACCACTTCACCCGCATGTTGCGAACCAAGCTCACTCCCAGGAATACAAGAGGCCCGAGAGGGTTTCCCCCAGAAGCCTCGAGGGCCCTGCGGTTTCATTCCATGCTCGCCGCTGCCATTTTTATTTCGAACTAAGACCCTTGGCCTTAGAGCTACGCCCCTCGCGAGGCCGCGAGTAGGAAGATTCATCGACGATCTGCCACATCACAGTGGCAGCTTGGAGCGAGTCTCAGCTGCCTGGCGCCGCGCGCCATTTCATATCCCGGCGCCGCCCGCCATCCCACTGCGCAGCCACGACGAAGCCGTCGCGACCCACGGAATCGAAGCCCAGCAGCAGCTTCCACCTCGCGCTGTTGCTCAGCGCCTACGCCAGCGTCAGCGACGCTATCAACGCCTACTTCTCCTGCGACAGTGTCAGCGACGCCGCCATCAACGCCTACCCTGCCAACTCCGACGCCAGCGTCAACGACGCTAGCACCTGCGCCTCCAACGGCTACTTCCCTTACGTCAGCGTCAGCAACGCCCGCGTCAACGCCTATTTCTCTCACGACAGCGTCAGCGACGCCGTCATCAACGACTATTTCGCCTACTTCTCCTAGATCAGCGCCAGCGGCGCCGACTTCAGCGCCTACTTCTCCCACGCCAGCGTCAGCGACGTAAGCTTCAACGCCTACTTCTCCTGGGCCAGCGTCAGCGACGCAAGCATCAGCGCCTGCCTCTCCAGCGCCAGCGTCAGCGACGCCAGCATCAACGCCTACTTCTCCAACGCCAGCGTCAGCGACGCAAGCGTCAACGCCTACTTCTCTTACGCCAGCGACGCCAGCATCAACGCCTACCTCAACGCCAGTGTCAGCGACGCGGCTCACTATCTCATTCTTGACAACATGACAGACAACTACACATACAGCGCCATCCTCACCTGGAATGGCGATCCGGCAAAGTCGAGAGATTACAAGCAGGAGGTTAGGCTCTGGAAGCTCAATGAGAACCTCGCCGTGGCTCACAGTCTCGCATCGAAGCTCGTGCTGAAGCTAAGCGGGACAGCCCGAGGTTTCAGCGCTAAATATGACGGAGGCGCAGCTGCATCCTGCAGCCGCGGCGGACATCGGAGACCCCGATGACAAGAAGCGCAATAGAAACCAGGTCGGCATCGAGAATGTGCTGCAACACCTGGAGGCTAGCTTGGGTCAGCAGAAACCCGTGCAGAAGGGCGACTCTTGAGAAGTTCTTCGAGTCGGCTCAACATCGCCGACGGCGAGGTGAACGCATGACGGACTGGCTCATCCGCTTCGAGACTGGACTGCAGCAGCTACGCGAGAACGAGGTGGACCTCAACGCGCTGGACGACGTGGCGGGATGGTTCCTGCTGCGCAAGGCTGGGCTCACGGCAGAGCGCCGCGAGCGCGTCGTGGGCAACCAGCCGGACGAGCACTACGGCTACCAGCGCATCCGCGGGCTGCTGGTCAAGATGTTCCCGGACATACATACGTCGGAGCGCCGCGCCCCCCCGCCGCGGTCATGGACCAACCAGTCGCGCCCACAAGGCGGCTGGCGTAGCAACGCTTCCTCCGGCCGCGGGGGGCGCACTACCAACGTCGTCGACGAACCGCGCGACGAGAACGACGGAGAGCAAGAGGAGGGCGACGAGGCCGAGGCCGAAGTCCAGGACATCGTTCGCCAGGAGCTCGAGGCTTTCAGCGCCGAGCGAGTCCTCCAACGTAGACATCTCCGAACTGTTCGACGGCGACGACTCTGCCAGGGTCGAAGCTGCCGCAGCGGAACTTGCCGCTATTCCCGAGGCAAGTCCGCGCCGAACCGCCGCCCGACCAAGCTACAGAGCTGGGTCGACCAGCGCAAGAGGAACACTTATTGCTGGGACTGCGGCGAGACCGGACACTGGACAGGGGGCAAGGAGTGCCCCACGCCAGGTCCTCGCAAGTTCGCGCCCAAGGACGGCAAGTCGAAGGGCGGTGGACGAGGAGGTCGCGGAAGCCGTCCTCAGCGCCAGGCGCACATCACCGAGCAGGTCCAGTTCGCGGACGAGGAGATCGCCCTGCACCCGCAGGGACCAGTCACGCCGCCCCCGGAGACTTGCGTCTCGGAGCGGCTCATCCACCACCTGCCGCACGTGAACGTCGCGATCGGCAGTGACAAGCCAGTGGACGAAGGCGTCGGCGTGGTCGACGCCGCCTGCCTTTTCTGCGTCTCGGGCAAGAAATGGTACGACAACTACAAGGACATCCTCACGAGGATGGGGCTTGCCAACCAGATCCTCGAGGAGCCGGAGGACGAGGTCTACAGGCTCGGCAACGGAGGTGCACTCCCAAAAAGATCGGCATTTCTCTCTGGAAGGGCCAGATCCGCATCGGGAACGCCACCCAGAAGCTCACCACGAGCGCCGCGGGCCACCCGCAATCAAATTGCAGCCAGAAGAC